TAGCTTAGGGTTAACTTCTGGCTACTCGCAAGGAAAAACAGTACAACCACACATGACCTTTTTGGACCAAAGCAGAAAACAACAGTTTGTGTGTGTGTGTTTTCGTCATTTGCATAGAATTTTGGCATCTAACTTCATCAGAATCTTCCATTTATTTTAAAATGCCCGACTTTTCTGAGCAAATTTAAGTTGGTCAGAACCAGAAGGCCATATTAACACGCTAGGAATAGCCATTTAACATGTGACATAATAAGCTTTCGTGAAGAACTTGACCATTTCTGAACCTTCCCCCGTGATCTCATTTGGCCCTCACATGTTCATCTCCCAGTAACATTTATGGCTTCATTCCTATTTTGCAAATAAAGGAAAGTGAAGTTCAAATACCATTTGAAATTTACTTATCGAGTCTTAAGTGGAATTCATGAAAGAATCAAAGTTGAATGTCTACATTTCCAAGTCAGGTTGGAGTTCTGCTCACCTTTTCTAGCAAAGGTGTTTGTTTACAAAGCTCTTCATTTGGCTTGGCAGTGCGTACATAAGAGACAAAGCTTTAGTCTTACCGCTGGACTCTATACTTAGTTGATATTTTTTATTAAGAAAACATTGTCTCAAGTGAATATCATTAGCACTGGACTGTGGTGATGAATTTTCCAGCCCAGGTAGTACTGGGAAATGGCGGGGTGAAAATACTCCCTTTAAGGGACCATGTTCTATGAGTTCACAAGATTTTTCTGCTTCGTAAGATTAGCATTTGATCATCATGTAAAGAACTGTCCTTTTTGAAGTCTCCACATTAGATCTGGCTCTAACTTTGGGTTTTAAAATTATATAAAAGAAAGCTGTATTGATCTTATAAATGTTACAAGATGTTAAGTTTTGGGAAATAAATCATATAAAGAAGGCTAAAAGCAACCGAGGGAGTTTAGACAATGAAAAAAATCTTAAACCTCATTTTAATATAATCTAGGTATTATAACGAATTTGAAATTACAGCATGTTCAGATAAATATAATGACATATATTTAACTTTGTCTTCAAAAAAACTTAGGAACACATTTTGAAGAACTTCCTTGCTGCAAATACCTGAAATTTTTCTTTCTCTAGTATTATATCTATGCCACCTAGGGATATTATAACTGGAAAAATTAGTTATCCATAAGAGAATCAAATCCAGTTGTTTGAATGTGTTGGTATTTGTGCTTGTTATTTATGAGGGGTTAGGGAATACAGCTCATGACATACATTTACCTCTATGGATCAGGAAGCTGTGAGTTTTTGAATTTGGAATATTTTCTATGAAGGTAATCTGTTCACCCTTCAAATACTAAAAGAGATTATTCTCACCAGATGATTTGTTAACTATGAGCACTGACCGAGATAGCTATAAAACAACAGTTTTATATACATTAATATACATTATTTCCCTATTTATCAATGAATCCTATTTAATCTTTAACGATAGCCTGAATTTTAAGTTATTCATGATATTTTTCATAAAAACTTCAGCCCGTGTGCCATTATTACCATCAGATATTTTCAAAAAAAAAGTAAGCATGTCCAATTTCAAAAAGCATTTTCTCAAATTATCTTTAAAATTTTCTCAAAATGAACAGTGAAAGTATAAATATAAATAGCAATTACAACAGAAGTTGATTAGAATCATGTGTCAGTCAGTTAGCATCCGTTCAGTACTATTTATGAATCTTAAAAAGCAGCAAAACTTGTACTAAAAATGCTGATGAGTAGTCAGTCTTAATACATTAGCATAATGCAAATAATATTTGATAACCCAAGATCACCTTCATATGATTAACACAGCAGTTAATCCTTAAAAACAGTCTCCAGTCTCCTATTTTTCAAACTAACTCTTCAACAATAAAAGTCGTAACTTTAATTGATTACTAATTGCAAGAAATACTCATATTATACCTTTACAACTTTAGGATATCTTTGCATGTTACTTTCTACCCAAAATTTTGATGAGAAACCAAAGTCTCAGAAAGGGAAATTGACTTATCCAAGCTAAGAGAGTTGGAAGGGGAAGAAGTAGGATTATTTCATCTTAAACTGCTTATCACATTATTAAGACTCTGCATATGTATATACCATGGGGTCAGTACTATTTTTTACTACAATTTATAGATGAAGATCCAGAGTCATTATCTAATTTTTCCAAACTTAGTTTGCTAATAAATAATTGAGAGAGCTATGTACCTAAGTATGTCTCATTCTGGAAATTTTCCCCATAAAATACTTTGTATGTGAATTTAAATTATATATTCAATTATGTCTCATGACACCAAAACAATGTTAATATACAAACGAAGCACCTTCTTAATATAATTTTGAGACAATAAAACCTAAATAAGACCTTCCTATTAATGAATTTGAACAGCGACTTCTGTTTCATCTCACTTGGGAGATAGTTCAGAACAGTCAAGGACCAGCCATTCCATCTGTGAGTTCAGCATTAGTCCTTACTCCTCTGAAAAGGAGCTACCTGTGATTGCAGGCACAGGAACTAAAAGTAGATGTTGACATGTTAAGGCTGTTATGGTAGTCACTGAGAAAGCTCCTACAGGATATGATACATCTTTAAGAGAAATTAGACATATGTCCTAATTCCTAAGAAATATAAAAGAAAAAAATTACTCAAGTTCTATATAAATCATTTGATGCTGTTACTGTATTTCAAGAATGAGCCTTAGGCTTAACAAATAAACCTGGTGAGTATTTTGAGTTATCCAAGCTAGCCCAATATCAGTTATACAAAAGTTGGCAATTCTACCCAAAATTTTCACATCTGTGTAGATATTACTAAGCCATTACCGTCCACAGATCAGTTGCTTAAGGTATTCATTCATTTATTTTATAGTTATCATGTGATTGTTAGCCCAATCAGGACTACAAAATCACTTATGCCTCTGAAGTAATAATAGCAGTTCTTGTGGTGGAAGCAGATGACTAAAAACGGAGGTGCACAGAGCTTCCAAAAGCACTTGA